TTGGCAAGATGACTATAAGTCATTGTGTGCATGAAGCCAATGGGTGTACCCATCAACTTGCTCGTTTTAGTTTTGAGGGACAGGAATATGGGGTGTGGAATGATAAACCTCCGGACTTCCTGATCCCATTCATTGTAAAAGACATGCTTGCTACCTAAATACAGTTGCCAAACTTCAAAGAAAATTTGCTCAACAATATACCTTAATAACGCGCTGATGTTTTCTTTGAGAGGTTGTCAGATCAAATTATTTTTCTGCCAACATGCACTATTGTTTAGTGAATAATAAACCTCAATAACGCGCTTGTTGGTAGGAATGAACGAACATTTTCTTTCACTAAAAAAACTATGTCCAATAAATGCTTCAGAATTGTCATGCAAAAACAGACAAGTTTGTCCACTAGTGCAGAACCGGGCAATAGCACCGGTTCGTAAGGCCCTTTAGTGCCGGTTTAGTAACTGGCACTAAAGTGTGGGCACTAAAGTCCCCCCCCCTTAGTACCGGTTCAGCATGAACCGGTGCTAAAGGGAAACCACGTGCCACGAGCCAGCTCCGGGGGCTGGGAGCCCTTTAGTACCGGTTGGTAACACCAACCGGTACTAAATGTTTGTGGGTTTTTGTTTTATTTTTTATTTTTCAATTAAATTTGTGTTATCAATTTAATTTAGGATTGTTTTACGTTATAATGAGTTGTAGTCGTCGTCATCATCATCATCATCATCATCGCATATTAATAAATAAATAAACTCTAGCTAGCTAAAAATCATCGTAGTCGTCTAATTACCACTATTTAATCATCATAGTCATTACCGCTAGCTATCTAATCATCACCAACACTGGCTAGCTTAAAGAGGAAACATTCACTTTGTGACAGAAGCAAAGATATCATCGAGTTCAACATAATCATCACCAACATCGAAGTTCAGGACACGGACATGAGACAAGTACTAATTAAGAGCATGAACTAGTAGCTACTCCTGCTGCTCCCTCTCAGGTAGAATAACATAGAACATGTATAGCTCTCCTGATTCATCATACTGGAGCATGCAGATGAATCTATCTCCTAATCTTGGGTTGCGCTTCTCCTTACTGCCCCCTAGTACTTCTCTGCGATCGTTAACAATTTTGCTCCAATCTTTCACTATTAAGCATTCTTCGCTTTCAGAAATCCTGAATGCACTCATGTGCAATGTAGGATATCTTGGCCGTAAGCTAACCATTGACATGTCACCTTTAGTCTCGATCCACTGAGGCACAACTGTCATCGAAAATCCCTGTTGAAGAACATCGTATATAGTAATTAATATACTAAGCAATGAAAGTTTAGCTTCAAAAATAATGTATGCAAAAGATGCACTAATTAAAGACAAATAGTTAAAATCTTATCATCTTTCGATTATATATGTGACCATAGTTCAATACGATCACCATTGGTCGCACGTTTTGAGTACTAACATTTCTAAGTTCAGGAAAAAAAATTGTCTTGACAGTATTAAGATCCTCAAGCCATGAAACATAATGACTTATCTCCTCGCGGTTTAGTTGAGCCCCGGGGCAGTAGTAGGTCCTGTCTACCAAGCGCCAGACATGTTTGCTTGAACCGAAATAAGCTGACAATACAAATTAGTTGTCAACTATTTTTGAATAAACTATATCAAAGGCATAAACATATGCATGCATGGTTGAGAAAAACTCACATAATGGTAGAACTGGAGGCGTTTACACATTGACCCAGATGTCTATATTACCTTCAATATCATCTTCCGGACGAATATCAAAGGTGATAACCATATCAGGCTCAAATGCATAAGCATTGCATAGTGCTTGTCAAGTTTTGCATTCAAAATGGGTGTATGTGTCTCCATTATATAATTTGACGTTGAAAGTATACCCATACTCCGTCTTCAAGTAAACTCTTTTTACCTCCATATCATCTATAGCACTAAAACCTATCTTATCCAAGACAAAGATTCTTGCATGGCAGGGGATGCGCTAGTAGAATAGTGAAAAGTTAAAATTATAAGTTGAAGCAAATGAAGCATAAGTTTTGCATTCAAATAATAATTATTGCCAAAGTGACTTACTATATCAACTTCGAATGTCTCATCCAGCTTGATGCTGAAGCGCCTACCATCAACAAGGAAATTTCTGTCGCACAGGCCACGCTGGTCTTCACAGTGTTCACACATAATGAAATCTTTTTCGTCGTCAGATGACATTTCCTATGTTCATATAGGTGAAACATTAAACACCTATTACAAACTAACATTAATTAATATCTAGCCAAATATATATTCATCTAACATTTGATATTAATATATCTAACTATATTCATCTCTAACAATTGACATTACTATATATTTAACTTTTCTATCTAATTCATCTAACATTCGACATTAATCTAACATTTATATAAACTTAAAATATATAAAAAATTAAATAAACAGAAAAACTCATTAACAAATAACAGAAAAATTAAATAAACAGAAAAACTCATTAACAAATAACAGAAAAACTCATTACTAAAAATAAACTAGTTATATTAATTATTGAACTAGTTCAAATCTCATATACCTAAATAAACTAGTTCGACAATTTTCTTACTAAAAATAAACTAGTTATATTAATTATTCAACTAGTTCAAATCTCTAGTTCGACAATTTTCTTACTAAAAATAAACTAGTTCAACTAATGTGTGTGTATATGTGTGTACGTGTATATATATATATATATATATATATATGTGTGTGTGTGTGTGTGTGTGTGTGTGTGTGTGTGTGTGTGTGCGGCCCCGTACGCCGCCGCCCCGTACGTACGAGTGGGGGCGCCAGTGTACGGGGCGGGGGCGGCGGCGTACGTACGGGCGGGGGCGCCGGCGTATGGGTCGGGTGCGACGACGATGGACGACGGCGCGGCGGGTACGCGAGAGCGAGAGATGTACGGGACCGCGGCGGGACGACGACGGACGGCGGCGTGCGGCGTTCGGGGCGGCGGCGCGAGACGGCGACGACGACGAGCGACGGGCGGCGACGACGACGACGGGCGACGGGCAGCGACGACGGGTTCGAGCGGCGCGCGAGAGGTTGGAGACGAAAGAAGTCGGGAGATCTAACTGAATTTTCGTAAGTGTTGTATATATAGAAGAGGCATTTAGTACCAGTTGGAGCAACCAACCGGTACTAAAGGCCAACTTTGGCCAGGCCAAGAGGCGGGCAAAGCAGGCCTTTATTACCGGTTGGTGGCTCCAACCGGTACTAAAGGGTGGTCTTTAGTACCGGTTGGTGGCTCCAACCGGTACTAAAGGATGGTCTTTAGTACCGGTTGGAGCCACCAACCGGTACTAAAGGCCTCGCGCTGCCATCCCAAAGTTTAGTCCCACCTCGCCGGGCGAAGGGCAGCCGCACTGGTTTATAAACCCAGTCGCGGCTACCTCTTCGAACTCCTCTATATAGTAGGCTTGTGGGCCTAAATTCTATGCGCTGCCCTGTGAGTTTGCTGGGCCTTTAAGGCCTGTATGCACTCCCATGGCCTAGCAGGCCCACAGGGCAGCGCCCCAATTTTTTTTATAGTTTTTTTCTTTTCTGCTTTATTTTCTTCTATTTATTTCTGTGTAGTTTTTTGTATAGTTGTTTCTTTTCTGTTATATTTATTTTCTTTTATTTATTTGTGAATAGTTTTTCATCTAGTCTGCTTTATTTTTTCTTCTATTTATTTCTGAGTAGTTTTTTCTTTTCTGCTATATTTATTTTATTCTATTTATTTCTGAGTAGTTTTTTTATATAGTTTTTTTTTCTTTTCAGCTATAGTTTTTTTCTTTTCTGCTATTTTTTCTTTTCTGCAAAACTTGATGGTCAAAGTCTGGAGTTATAACCAAAGTTTAAAAAAAAATGCCGACGTGCAATTAGTTTTTCATAACAGAAGAAGTCCGGAGTTGTAATAAGTTATTAAAAATAAAAAAGAGGTGCAATGCTCGTTAATTTGCTTCAAGCCTTTCGGAATAGTGTAAATTGCACTGCGCATAGCTCCGTGCAGTCTACCATATTCCTGAAGGCTTGAAGCTAAGCAACGTGAGCATTGAGCCTCTTCTTCATCGTCTCTGCACTCAGGGCTTATAAACCGCTCCTAGTCCCTCTCTCTTCGCGAGGTGGGACTAAAAACAGCTTGCCATAACCTCTTTAGTACCGGTTCGTGGTACGAACCGGCACTAAATGATGATGGTGGGGCCATAGCCTAACCGCAGGCTGACACAACCTCTTTAGTACCGGTTGAACCGGTACTAAAGGTTCGCAACGAACCGGTACTATTGATCGCCGCCACGAACCGGCACTAATGTACACATTAGTGCGGGCTCTAATTCAAACCGGCACTAATGTGCTTCACGTTTGACCCTTTTTTTACTAGTGGTCGTGCTATTACATAAGAATTTGCCATGTTCTAAATTTAAAATGGTCTAGTTGCATAAAATATTGTTATAAAATTGTCGCACTGCAGAGTAATTCTCATGCGTTTCAAGGATTTACCATGATTGCAGCATGGAGAATTGTAAGCCAAATAAACAAGATATTGAATATTGCCATGCTTAATTAGGTTTTGCCGTGTTGGGTTGACTTAAAATGCTACGTTTTTTTCTTTCCAAAATGGATCCTGAGTGAACCAATTACTATCGTTATCTCATAGTTCACCCAAAGGATGCATTTGGAAAAGACATGCAAGAGGCCGTTCGCTTAGAATTCTTTAAAATCTGATATTTTCTAGATACATTTATTTGAGCGATAAGTAGTATGAATCAAAGAGAGTATCAGAACTTTAGCATTTTGACAGCTATATATGTCTCGAAAGTTGTGGAGAATCCCCAAGTCATCGTTGCTAACCGTCGAGCTGATCTACTTGTTTGTACGGCCAAACTTTACGTCGTGAGATAACGAGTGGTTTTCACAGATTTACGGGAGGCAGACCACCACACTGACATTCATTCACGTTGTTTGCACAGTAAAACGGGAATGGACTTCGCCAAGGAAGTTGTCGTTCAGGCGGCGCTGTCCGAGATCCTTGGCCGCATCTTCTCCTCCCTGCTAGACGGCCTTCGCCGGCCGACCGACGGTGGCGCCAGGGACGCGCACCGCCGGCGGCTGGAGCGGTTGCTTGGCAGTATTGGCAGCATGGTCGAGGAGGCGGAAGGGCGGCACATCAACAACCACCAACTGCTCGGCCACCTCAAGGTCCTCACCGAGGGCATGTACCGCGCCCGCTTCGCCCTCGAGGCGGCCGACCTCGACGACGCCCATGACGCCGACGCCACGGACGACGACGGTGACCACATCGTCCGGCGCCGCTCGCTCGCGCTGCTCTCGCCGTTCAACAGGGCGAAGCGTTCCCGCATCACGAGCCTGATCTGGGGAGCTGGCGCTGGCGCCGGGGACAACGACGGTGGGTCGATGCAGAGGTTGGCGGCCGCCAGCGAAGAGCTGGAGGGCCTGACGCACGACTGCACGAGGGAGTTCGTGCTTCTCGTCCAGGGGTACCCGCGCAAAGTGCACCGGGCGGTGCGGACGACGCTGTACATGGACCGCTGCGTGTTCGGACGGCACGTCGAGACGGAGCGCATCGTCGACTTCCTCCTGCAGCAACATGGCGGATACCTGAGCGCGCTCGCCGTCGTCGGCGCCAAGAAGGTCGGGAAGACCACGGTTGTCAAGCACGCCTGTGGGGACGAGCGCGTGCGGGGCCACTTTGCGCGCGTCGAGTGGTTCGAGACGCCAGAAGTCGTGAAGGCGGGAGGCCAGCCGGGGCAGACCGCGTGGGAGAGCGACGGACCGGAGTATCTCGCCGGCGTGCGCCGCATCATCAGCGAGCCGCGGGAAGGCCGATCGCTCCTCGTGTTCGACGACGCCTGGCCGGTCGACGCGTCGGCCTGGCGCGAGCTCGCATCGTCGACCACCACGGGCGCGGGCGACTGCAAACTCATCTTCACGTGCCGCGACGCCGACCTCGCCCGGGACATGAGCACGGCGGCGGAGCCGGTGGTGCTGGGCAAGGCCCCGATGGAGGAGTACTGGTACTACTTCAAGGCGTTCGCGTTCGGCGGCGGTGCGGACCCCAGGGACCACCCTCGGGCCGCGGCGGTCGGCCGGGAGATCTGCGAGCGGCTCGACCGCACGTACCTCGACGCCAGGGTGCTGGGTGGGCTGCTCGGGGCCAACCTCGGCGACGCACCGTTCTGGCGCCGCATGCTGGCGGCCCTCGCGCGGTGCGAGCGGCGGCCGCTGCACGTCGGCGTCCTGCTCGAGCTCCTCCCCGTGAACGGCAGGAGGCTGCAGTCGTACGGCTACTGCCGGAGCCCGCCGAATGTCACCGTGCAGGACGTGCTCGGCGGGAGGGCCAGCGGCGGCTCCGATGAGGATGGCTCGATGACCGTCCATCTCTGCAGGGAGACGCTGTACATGGATCACTGGTACAGCATCACTTTCAAGAAGTACTAGGTTGCCTCCCGGCCGTGTCGGGACAGCTTAAGTTCGTGGCAATAAATAGTTACAATAACTAAATGTAAGTCGCCGTATTTAGAATTTGGGTCAGTTCATTTCGCGTGAAGAAGGGTTATCGAAGAAGGCTACCCCATTATCTATCTTAGGATATAGGAGTGATGCAAGTTCGCCTGAAAAAACTGACCCTCACCGGGACTAGAGGGATGGCCGGGCGACAGCAACATGGCGATAGGAGGCGGTTATATGAAAATGAAGAGCAAGAGTGTGTGTAACCCGAATGTCATTGGAAATGTTGTATATACTTTTTTGCATGGTAATACGCGTCTCGGTTATATCAAAAGATTATGGTATAAGTTGCGTACATACCAATCTGGCAAAACTGGAAGAATCCTCTGAGCTTGCCTTCACACCCGAGCTCAACACGTCTCCAATGCTGATATGCAACTTTGCGGACATCCAAGATGGCTTGCCAAAGACGAAACCATTACTGTTGAACGATTAGACCGGGGCAACACCCCAGACACATCATCGAACTCCAGATCTGGCACCTCCACATGACTAAGACGTTGAAGAAGAAAATCATATCTGCCATCCACGGACCACAAACCCAGCACACGATCCATCATCTTCTAGATACAGCCGATGCAGACCACAATCTACATCCGCTCATGGATTACCTCCCAAGCTCCGCGCCGACGCTGAAGTAAAAACCATCGCAATGGCGGAGCCCGAGGACATAGGTCCACCACGAGGATACTGCCGCCGCAACGCCATCCTTATTTGAATAGACTGGTTTCCAGATCCATCCCAAATCATAGGACCGATCGCCTCGTCAAAATAGGATCAAAGGAATCTTTATTCAGCGTCATCATTGCCGATGCCGAAGCCATGACGATGAACAATCTAAAAACCTAAACTACAAGAGTCTAAACATGATCCACACGCGTGAATCCGGCGACCCCCCTCACCACTGATGACCGAGGTCGCCGGCGGAAGAGAGCCGCCGGAGGACAGCGTGAGTCAGAAAAGCTAGACTTGCGCTATTCCCTATTGTTTTTCTTTTATGAAATGGTATTCCCTATTGTTGTATGTACTTGTCATTGTGTCTGTTGTTGGTGACTTGGTGTCTAGGAGGACTGGGCCGTACAAGTCAAGTGCCCCGGCTCCACTGCAAACTCTACGATATTACCTGCCGCCTAATCCATCTTACAAATTGATATTAATGGTAGAAGAAAATTAATTAACTTGTCTACGTCTGTAGCGGGCAAACGGGAAAGGAATAGAAGTCAAGTCATCGGCCTTCATAGTCAAGAAACATGAGTCAAGTCGTTTGTCCCACCGAACCATGAATTGTTACAAAAACAGTGATATCTTGCAATTTTTCAGGATTCATTCCAGACCTTTCGATAATGTGCTGATTGTCAAGTTGCCCCTATAAATACTCACCCGAGCAATGCTACTCCTACGTACACACAAGTCAAATTTATTGTACAAAAAACTTCCAAACTTTTTTGACTTTTTCTTTAATCATCAAAAATAATAATTCATATGAGGTGTATATACATCCAACAATCAAAGGGTATTTCCCACGAGATCACCATGCAGGACATGCTCGGCGGAAGGGCCATTGACGGCTCCGACGATGATGGCTTGATGACCGCCCATCTTTGCAAGGAGCGTTGTACATGGATCACTGGTACAACATCACTTTCAAGAAGAACTAGGTTGCCCCTGTCGGGACAGCTTAATTTCGTCGCAATAGAACTCATTACAAATGTTCTACAGATGTGTGTACTTTAGACTCTATGTGATCATACAGTTGGTTGCAAAGGTGACATTTGGATGTTTTGATTTTTCAAACAGCTTGTAGTTTTTAGAACTGCCATAAATGAAGAGTTTTCTTCAAGACATTGACAAAGGTGCTGATACGCCTCGCTGGGACTGAGCTTATGCTAATTTCAAGTGGGCCCAGTGATGAAGCTATATATGTAGGGTAGGGTCATGGATCTGTCCAACATACCCTCCTCAAGGACATCTCTACAAAGAATCAGAAGCAGTCGAAGAGAAACCATCATCCACTCGACCATGAAGATGTGCTCACTCGACCACCTTGAAGACACTCGACCACCAGAAGATGAGAAACCTTCCACTCTGCAACGGTCAGGGTTTAAACCATAGCTTTATGAGCATTTACAACACTTTACTTCAGACGTTACCAGTAACGCTCCTCCTTTATGGGCATTGAACCTTGTGTAACGGAGGGGAGCTGGGGTCCTGGCGCACTCTATATAAGCCACCCCCCTCCTCTGGGACAAGGGTTCGCACTTTCTATAATTCACACGCATATATTCAGTCGACCGCCTCCGAGCTCCGAGACGTAGGGCTGTTACTTCCTCCGAGAAGGGGCTGAACTCGTAAAACTCGTGCGTACAACTCCTCCATAGCTAGGATCTTGCCTCTACATTCCTACCCCCCCTATTCTACTATCAGTCTTAGAACCACGACAGTTGGCGCCCATCATGGGGCAGGTGTCTTAGCGACTTGTTGGAGAAGTTGCAATTTTTCCGATCCCCTTCATCATGGTTCCAGGCGGAGGTTTGGCTGAGGGCCGCGAGATCCGTCTCGGCGCGCTCGTGTTTGTCGCCGACGACTCCGCTTGGCTTCAGGAGGATCCACTCGACGCCGACACGCTCCCCGCCCGCGGGGCGACGCACTTTTGCGCGTGCGTCCGCGGTGTCCTCATGCGACAGCCGTCGACCCAGTATCAGTCGACTCCAGCAGCTTTCCCCCTCCCTGCGGCCCGCCGGAGCAAACGCTCCGGTCGGTCGAGGCTTCAGCGGTGGGTGAAGCGTGCGGTGGCCCGCCAGTCGGCCACCCCTCAAGTCGCGGCGATCGAGCCCGACGAAACTCTCTGCGGCCTGTTCAATCTGTCGACTGGCTCCGTAGAGACCGCATCCGAGTGCGACAACAGCGACCCGGCGGCGGAAGTCCTGATGTTCAATGGACCATGCAGCCCTCCTGGCTTCAACCGTGAAGACGGAGGCGACGGGAACGGCGATCCGTCGCGCGTTCACGAGGAGTACCGCCCCGAACCCCTCTCCTCGCAGCAGAGGGAGGAACTTCGCCGCCGGAACATGGATGCACTGCATACTCCTATAGTTGGAGAAACCCCTGAGGCCTAGGCCTTGGAGCAGGCGCGCTTGGCCAACCTGGCTGAGCGCACTCAACTGGAGAACCTCCAGCGCGCACTCGACGATCGCGCTCGACAACGTGCTCCTGAGTCCAGTCGACGCCATCTTTTTCCACCTCCGATTCAGGTATACCGAACCCCGATCCAGAATCTAGCAGCTGCTGCCCGGATAGCAGAGTCGATCCAACCTTCCCAATCAGAAGTTGGCCGAGGTCTGGTGCAGATCAGAGCCTTGCTCCGGGCAGCGGGGGAGCAGAATACGGTCGTATCTCAGTCACGGAATAGGATCCATAGCAGATCCATGGCCGCAGACACAGTTCAATCGGCCCATAGCCCAAGATCTCCCCCGAGGCGTGAGGGACGTGGAGATCGACGTGATCAGTACAGAAACCGAGAGCAGTATGATCGTCGAGCCGATCGCGATGATCGTCGTCGAGTGCTCACGCCTCCTCCAAGAAGTGGGTCATACGTGCCTCAGCCACATGAAGACAGATGCCCTCACAGTGTCGGACGAGGTATTCCAGTCGACCCCAAGGAGCCAGGCTTTGATGCGAGATCTATTCTCGTGCAGGGCTTGGTCGACAGAAACAGAGATCACCGAGAGGGCCATGACAGAGATCTGCAAATCAGCAACAGGTTGCATGTCTCAGGTCCAGAGTGCTTCAGCAGAGCTATCAGAGCTGCGGTGATTCCCCCAACTTCAGGTTGGCAACTGGAGTCAGTAAGTTCACCGGAGAGTCCAAGCCTGACACTTGGCTTGAAGACTACCGAGTGGCTGTCCAGATTGGTGGCGGCAATGATGAAGTGGCCATGAAACACCTTCCTCTTATGTTGGAGGGCTCGGCTAGAGCATGGCTGAATAAGTTGGCGCCTGGCAGCATCTATACTTGGGAAGATCTCACCCGAGTGTTTGTCAGAAAATTCGAAGGCACTTGCAAATGGCCGGTAGGTTTGACAGAATTACAGTGTTGTGTTCAGAAACCGAATGAAACTTTGAGGGATTATATCCAGAGGTGGATCACCCTACACCGCACGGTAGAAGATGTGTCAGATCATCAGGCAATTTGTGCCTTTAAGGAAGGTGTCAGGTATCGGGAGTTGAATATGAAATTCGGTCGGACAGGAAATATGACTCTGGCTCGGATGATGGAAATTGCCACCAAGTATGCCAATGGTAAATAAGAAGAACGACTCCGGAGTGGCAAGCACAAAGCAGTCGCCCACGAAGCCGGAGGAGGAAACTCTGGTCGGAAACAAAAGCGCAAGGCCGAGCCAGCTGCTCCTGGTGAAGCCTTGGCTATGGTTCAAGGAAAGTTCAAGGGGAAGCCCAAGGGGCCGTGGAACCCCAAGAAAGTAAAAGATCAAGATGGAAATGACGTGTTGGATTTGCCGTGCCACATCCACACCAAAAAAGATGAAGAGGGTAATTTCATTTACCCGAAGCACACCACTCGGCAGTGTCGGCTCCTAATCCAGCAATTCCAAGAGAAACAGCCCAAGGAAAAGGAGAAGGAAGCAGACAAGGCTGAAGATGAGGAAGGAGATGATGATGGTTATCCCCGCGTGAATTCCACTCTGATGATTTTTGTTGACGTTGAGAGCAAAAGTTGATTGAAAGTTATCAACAGAGAAGTGAACATGGTCGCTCCGGTGACACCCAGTTACTTGAAGTGGTCACAGACTGCCATTACATTCGACCAGTCTGACCATCCAGCGCACATAGCCACCCCTGGGAGGCAAGCACTGGTGGTCGACCCGATGGTCGAAGGCACTCGACTGACAAAGGTCCTAATGGACGGTGGCAGTG